TTCCTGGGACTTCTCCAGTGGACATCACTGGATGTGGACAATGGACAGTCTAATGAATTTCTGTCAGCCGAAATGATACGGTCACTTCGGGTGGACAGCACTCGAAAGTCATTTTTTATTTCTGCCCGATGTCACAGGATTATCCAATTGATTAGCAGGAAACGAGGACTGATGTCAGAATTTCATTAATAATGCAACACTGAGCTTTCAGGTCAAATATGGCGGCACCCTACTTCCGTCGTGTGGTCGGGGTTAATCATCATTTTTACATAACTTACCATAGAGTAGCTTACACTATTAGTAAATAAGACTGAATGGTGTCTTGATAAGGACCTGTGACCACCTGGAACCTTTCGAAACAGTGTTTTAATGGGAGGAATAGTACCTTCGTACATCTTCCCCATGCTATTGCCCACTTAAAACTGGTTCACGAATTCATTTTATACAGCGCTCTTGTCATTACCCCGTTGTGGTTACGAAGTTGAAGAAGGTGGGTGCTTGTGGATCGAGCCATTTCAAGTATCTGGAAGTATAAGTGGACTTTCTGAGAAAGTCGTCTCACTAGTGGAGCTTCTTAAAGGTGTAAATGTGCGAAACAAAGGGGTGGAACGAGTGCAACAAACGGGAATTCCGAGAATGAGACCTTGAAGACATACGCCTTTGAGTACGCGGCGAGCCGACTCATGAATCATGACTTTACAGGATGCCACGACAGCAGCGCCATTTTTCGTCCTTTGCATTTTCCCCGTGTGAGGAATGAAAGGTGACCAGGTTGATGGCTAAACTGGATTTTAAGGAGGGAAAACACGTTCGTGACCGCGAGATTAGTCAAGTGCTGTGTAGGTTCCCTAAGGCTCTTCAGTACAGAGATCCCTAACTCCTGTCGTCGTGGTCCCTCTGCCCTTTTTTGCACTATGACATGACATGTTAATTAGCCTCCTAAGAATATATGGGTTAGTGCTATTCAATGAGTAGTATTTTCTCAGAGTAGGCCTACATATATCGCACCATCCTATATCTCTCCTATGGAGTTTATGGATCTGAGTAAACCACTGCTGAGATTCATGAATGTTTAGGCTTTGATGTGCATTTGCAAGCTGGGGCAAACTAAATAGGGTTTAGTATTTTTTTTTTGAATGGGATGGGTTGGTGTAATGAGTGCTGCAAATACTGGTAGGTGGAATGGGGTTAATATGATGAACTATTCTCACTTAATCCTTGTCATACACCTGACTGGATGGCAAAAGGCCTGAAGGCTTCATCCTGAAGGACATTTTTTCCTTTGGCTCTTATTTATGTTCACATTGGTTTCATCCATAGACTTAAGTTCATGACTGTGGGAGAGAATGATTTCAGCATTTGGATTTTAAATATTTCATTGTCATGCATTTTAAGTGTGTTGCTTTGTTTTTGGTCATGAGTGGAATAGGTTGAAAAAAGCTTAAAGGTAATAAGAGAAACATAAAAAAAAGGATGTTGTCACCTCATTTTCATATAAGCTTTATATGGAAGGTGGTTGACTTCATCATGGCTATCAGAATAAAGAACCCTAGAAGGATATGGAGACATTAGGCAAGTGGAATATGCCTGAACCTCAGTACAGGAATTGGGTTGGGCTGGCTTTGCTTGAAATCTTGCATTCATTATCTAGTTCACATTCTAGCTTCCTCTTTCGCTGTCTTGGCCTTCACAATATCCATACTGTCTACTCGCATTCATCATGTCATGATTTTCTTTTCAGGTAGAATTTGCATTGGTTCAAAGTGTGACTGACTCTCAGAAGATGAGTGGTGAGATGGTATTAGTGACTGGTGCAACAGGTTATGTTGCCAGTCATGTGATGAAGCTATTACTGGAACAAGGGTATAGAGTTCGAGGCTCTGTGAGAAATAAAAGCAATGAAGAGAAGGTGAAGCCTCTCTATGCCCTCCATCCCAAGGCAGCAGAGAATCTTGAGCTTGTAGAAGCTGACCTACTAAAGGAAGAGTCCTGGATACCAGCTGTGAAGGGATGCAGGTATGTTCTTCATACAGCCAGCCCTTTTCCACAGGCTGGGATGGTGAAAGATGAGAAGAAAGAGGTAATTCAGCCTGCTGTTGATGGAACACTCAACGTGCTTAAGGCAGTTGCCTCTGCTAATGCAGAAGGAGAGGGGATTAAGCGTGTGGTCATAACATCGTCCTGTGTGGCTGTTTTTGGTGCCTATCAGCCAGAAGAGGGAAAGATCTACAATGAAGAGGATTGGACTGATCCTGATTCACCAGAAACTGAAGCATACTACAAAAGCAAAACCCTAGCTGAAAGAGCTGCCTTTGAATTTGTGAAAAATCTTCCACCAGAGAAGAAGTTTGAATTGGCATCAGTGAACCCTGCATTGATTATTGGTCCTGTGCTTTCCGCTATGGCATCAGACAGCACCTCTGCCAAAATCATTCGCAGTTTGGTGGAACGTGACTTCCCCATGGTCCCTCATCTGGGACTACATCTTGTGGATGTTCGAGATGTTGCTTTAGGTCATCTAAGAGCCATGGTCACTCCTGAAGCAGCTGGACATCGTCACATCTTGTTCGAGAAGTCCTTGTTCATGGAAGAGATGGGGCAGGTGCTTGCAAAGGAGTTCTCTCAGTATGGGTACAGACCGACGACACGGGCTCTTCCAACCATTGTTGCATGGCTTGCCAGCTTCTTTGATAAGCAACTGCGCAATTATGCTTACCAGAGACTCGGCTACAAATTGAATTATGATGTCAGTCGGATGTCAAAAGTTCTCAAGATTGAGGCACATCCAACCGAACAAAGTCTTATTGATATGGCTCATAGTCTTATAGAATTTGGCATTGTCAAGAAAACATCAGGTTATAAGAAGCACCAAGAAAAATGAAAGCAGGAAAAGTTTGGGGTTTGCATTGCTTTATTATATCCAAGTTCATGAATCATAAATGGGTGCTCCTTTTGTATGCAGCTTTCAGTCTTCCCAGGGTCCATCAAGCATTCCCGTCCTTTTTATACGCGTTCTCTTATTTGAATTATTTTTTGCAAGAATGTGGTTTACATTGGATGTTTATTAATGTTAGGCCAAATACTTACTGTTTACAGTTGGTTGTATTATACTGGTGTTGTGCCATTGAAGGTTGTATCCAATATGGAAATGTTTACTTTTTATAGTGTCTGTTGGGAGGTCAATTTGGCTTTTGGAAATCTCTTTGAAATTTTTATTCCATATATATTATCTAATAAAGAAGTATGACATTCAAAGAAGACATGATCTCATGTTCCTCTAAGTTAATCACAAAGTGGATGTAACATTATTGGCAAGATTGTTGCCCCCATCTGAAGTTGGGCCTGCTGAAAGGGAAACGCAAGAGAAACTCCAGGTCCTTTGAAGTAAACAACAGGCACAATTCTGTCTTTCCCAATCTTTTGCCAATCTCAAAACCATAGATATTTATTGAACACTCTGGGTAGATGCAGGTAAGAGTTTTTGTTGAAAGTTCCCTCCATTCAAGGTGCACTTTGTATGGACATGTACTGTGAAATGCAAGGAAATAAGGAGTTGAATGTTCCTTGGCTCCTGTGCATAGCAAGTGTCCATATGATTTTGTTGTGCTGCTTGTAGTGTCAGGAAGTTTGGCTGTCTGCTGTCTATCTTATCTCCCTCATTGCCTTGGTAGTTAGGCACAACAGTGAAAAGCATTTTTGCAAAAATTTCATATTAAAATTATTAATTGAATAAGGAGTTAAAGAGTGTAACTTTCTGGAGTAGCCTAACTCATTCTTAATGCCACTGAGGTGAAAATTAACAGTCTGCAAACGTGGGTCCAGGACTAAGATGCTAACATTTATACAAGTTTATTCCTGGGATCAGAAGTTTTCCAGTACTGGACTAAAGCAGCCTGCATGGTTCCATCATGTATGTGTGATTGCAGTGATGGGCAAGTTCCTCCAACATCAATCCTGAAATGGATCAGTCCTATTGACCAGGGGCAGTATTCTATTTAAATCTTGGACTTAAGTAAAGCAAATTGCTTAACCGTAGTCATGTATTTGAATGGGGAAAACCCCAGCCAAGTGCTTTGCAAAGAGGTAAGTCACATATGAGAAAAAAACAGAAAACAGCCCCTGATGTCATGCTGCAGGCCTCAGCATGCCAAGTTGAGAATGACTTCTGATGATAAGAAGTGAACTTTGTTTTGTGTTTTAAATGCAGGTTGGTGAGTAAACATGCCACACAGAGTAGCAGCTGCAATTCTTTCCCTGTGCCTATAGCACCATCTCAATTCCCTTTAATTGGTAGGGAAAAAATGGGGCATCAGCCAATTCCTTACTTGTGTCTATCCCTCTCATACTTTTAATTTATTGTTTTCTCTTTCTTTTTTATTGTTAGGATATACTTTTCCTCTTGAAAGTCTATTGCAAGAAAATGATGAAACTTGCATAAGATATAACTGAAATTATTCAAAGGTAAAACTGTCACCCAATATGACCAATACTCAAAATAATTAATTTCATGAACTAACAGTGGAACAAATATTTTATTAAAACTACATAAGCACTTCCACCTTTCTTTATAGCAACCAAAATTTCATGTGTAGCAACAAAGGGGTTGGTCACATATCACATTAGGCAGTGCCCCACATCAATCACAATATTTTAAAAAGTTCAGGTAAAGCTCAATGGTTTTGTGAGGTAATGTGATATTTGAGAGCATCAAGCCTGGGATAAGCCTTTCGGCAAGTTTCACACTGGAAGGGCTTCTCCTTGCTGTGTTTGCGACTGTGGTAAATGGCATGACTCTTATGGTTGGTTCTGTAGGGACAGATGGGACAGAAGAAGATCTTCAAATTCCGTGCAAGCATCTTCCCACACCAGATGTAGCTCTGGACATATGACACCGTCTGAAATATGGACGATGCAAGGAACACGTTATGGCACTTTCTAATTACATATTACTGGTACTTTTTAAGTGTGGGGTAGCACTTGAGAGACAAATGCAATATAATGGCTTCAGAAAGAAATGCAAGTGTATTCTTGAATAAAACAGCTGAAAGTTAACAGGAAAGAAATCAACATAGAGATTCCTTAAGAATCTTGACTTTGACTATGTCGTTTGAGAAGGTGGTCTTGGAGATACTCCTTCCGGGTATAGGCCTTCAAGCAGACGGTGCACTGGAAAGGCCTGGTGTGAGTTCCCCCATGTCTCGAGACGAGATCCTTTCGACTGCTCTTGTATGGGCACACTCCACAAAAGAACAACCGGGACTGGAGAGCTGTGACTCCACACCACACTGACTTCTCTATCCAACACACACTCTAGAGGAAAACAGCCACAATAAGATGGCCATAGAGGGTATGGGATTTGGATGTGAGTGAAGTTCTCCATTCATGCACATTCTGTTTCCTCCCTGACCATAATTCGGGAGATGAAGGCCAGTTCTTGTGGGGATACATTTCATGATACAATCAAGATAGTCATATTTCCAGGAGGTTTTTACCAGATTGCACCCACTCTACAGTGAACATAAGCCTAGTCCATGATCTCCACATAAATAAACAATGCTCAGGTCATGCTGAACACCCAAAAGAGACAGTAGAACGGAATTTTGATTATTTTGTTTTCTTTTTTCAAGCCATATTGGTTGGCATGACCAGAACATGTTCAGCAGAACTACAGATCATGGCTCCCTAATATGAAAGCGTAGCCCACAAACATCATAATACATACAGGGAAAAATAACTTAACATTGACAATGTCAACTGTAGCTTCATGTTCCAGTAATGAGGGAGTACAAAATATTGCAAGTAGCCATCACCTACTCTAATATTGGGCCAGTGCTACCAGTGAAGAACTATATTGACAAACCTGTGGGTCAACATCTGAAGGTATGCTTGCAGGGGCTTCAGGCTCTTCTTCCATCTCCTCCGAGTAATACGCAGTCTCGGACAGATCCTCCTCCCATTCGTGTTCTGGTTCCTCTGCTGACTATGAGTACCAGAAGGAATTTCCAGAATAAATACAGACCTACCAGCATTGGTAAGCGTAATTCAATAATAAGAATGGTTGTCCACTAAGAATCTCTCTTTTGGTTCACTTACTGGAGCACTTGAGTCAATTGTGATAACCTCCTCAGAAGATTCCTCTTTTACCTGGACTTCTTCAGATGCACTAGAGTTTGACTCTACTTTGCATGATGGTCCTTGCAGTGGCAAAGGCATTGGCATTGCTACCTGAACAGAAGAATGTGAATCTTCCTGTATATAAAATACTTAAATGGAATACATATGTAGCTTTAATAATTAATTATGGACTTTTTCAAGCAAGAAGTAAAATGATATGCCAAGTTTGTTTGATTTGGCCTTTTCTTATATTAAACTACATGAGACATTAACCCAAGGGGAAAATGAGTGACATACTAAGCTAATGTGGTTGAAATTCATTCAGCAATGCTCTTCAACATGGAAAAAATTACTTCATCACAGAAGACCTTGGATCCCAATTTTAGCTTAGCATTTCATTAGTCCTATTGTCAGGCTAAGGCATACCTTGGAACGAACGGGGGCAGAGATATTGTTTATTCCAGGGGAGACTGGAAGTTGAGATCGTGACAATTTGGTCTTTGTGGACTCAATGTGGTCTGAGTTTTCAATTTTCCTCTTATGGGCAAGCGCATCTTGAATATCTTGCACAGGGATTGCAGTTCCGTGACCCGAGCTACCGGTTCCTTTCGGCCTGTCCCCTTTCAGTCCTTTCACTTCCAAGTTCTCCGCAAGTGCGATGAACTTTTCCAGATCTGCAGATGGGATGTCCACTTCCCCACAGTACATAAACTCGATGAGGAACTTGAGGAGGTGCATGTCAACACCATAAAAATGGATAGTGGGAGTTCCATTCCCATGAACCTCCCTGCTGAAGATCCTCTCGAAATATCCGCTTCCAGCGCACAGAATCAACTTATGAGCCTTCACAGATTGGCCATCGCACGAGAGAGCCACATCCACCAGCACTTCCCTGTGACGAAGGGCGTCGAAGCCCTGGAAAGTTTCCACATGATGGGAGTTCCACTTCAAGTTATATTTATTGGTCATTTCTGCTCACCCGACCAACAAACCTGCAAAACGTGAAATGACACCGAATTTACGAGGCGAAGAGTTTGAAGGAAAGACCTAGTTCAGATAGGCTGGGCCTAGCCAGAATCTCCAGGAAAGCCGTGCTTCCAACTTTCCGAACACCAGCATGTGCCCTGCACGCAGCCATGCGGAGTGGAGTCTGCTCGTTCTGCACTCTGACGGTAGGACGAGTTGTTACTGTTTCCTCATAGATGTCTCTGAAGCACTTTTTTCGTCTGCTAACTATAGTAGACTATTCGCATATAAGGGTTCCCCATGGTCTACCCGGTGCATTGCTTTGATCCAAGTCCGAGAAAACGTTTTGTCGGTAGCATTCAAGTCCTGCAGATCCTCATCCCGAATCGAAAACGTTAAGATAACGTCAAGCTTCCCTCCGACATTACTTCCCGCTCATGGTTCTCCGAAGCGAAATCCTGAGTCAATTTTCTCGTTTTTCTTTTCATTTTGCTAGAGATAGAAGGGGACGCTCCCTGCTGCGACCGAACGGGATGCAAAATCTTATCACAAATCGACTCAATATCGTCCCAGGAAAAAAATTCCTGCTGGATGTAGTGGTTGGATGGTTCGGGATTTCTCCAGCGGGAAAAAGACAGTCTGGAAACCGAACTAAATCCAGCTGGACTTCGCCAGCTTTAAGTTTCTAGCAGGAATATTCTGTCTAACCAGAAGGAAAATTCCAACGGGATCCAACAGGAAATGTTAGTTGGAGAGCATGCTGGAAAACGTCGGATCTTGCTGGAATTTCCTATCTTGCATCATTATGACACGTATTTCAAAACAAACAAGGCTACGTTGGACCAACGTTGTATCAACGATCCGAACGTTCATTCAATGTTGATTCAAACTGTTTGCTGGGTTGATTTCAGGTCTCGAATGTTTTGTCATGTGAAACTCATTAATAAGCTACGCATTTGATAACTGATTTTTTTAAATAACCGTTTCAATGCCTCCTAGGATTTAACAAAACCGCCGCAGATAGACAGTAATGCTCAAGAGAATAAGCATTTATGCAATGGGTTTGTAGACATGGATGTCCTGTTTACAAAATCGAATGAATTCCAAGGCTCAGTGTTTCCTAATATTAAGATATGTACAGTCAAGTACACATTTCAAAGACCCCTTTCTCCCCTTCATGCACAATCATATAATCCAAGTCTGGAACACCCCCTTCATAATGCATGGCCTCCATATATGAAGTTTCGTCCATTTCAGTGTCAGGAGATCTTGTGTTGACAACTGGACAGAACTAGCCTAATTTTGCAAAAATTGCGGCAATTATTTCATCTAGATGACACCAACAATCTGAGTTGTCTCCTTCGTTCTTCCCAAGCAGGTGGTATACGAATTCAATCCAGAAACAGTATATGTTTTACATTATACTCGAAAGCGGGAGAACGTCACGAGACAATTTTTTTTGTTTACCCCTGAAACGTGAATTTCTCGGAGGTTAGCTTATTCAAGATGGGTAAAAGTTTCTCGCAAAAGGCGTGATTGTGAAGTGTACTAGTCTGCCACCACTTCCGATGAAATCGAAGACGCTCAGATCCACTCATCCGTCCTGTTCCGGTTCATTTGAAGTGCTGCCGGGGTAGCCTATATGCAAGGTGTTTCGGTTTTACTACGGGGTTAGGCCTGTCATGCCTAATAGAGGCTGGCCTAGTCCGGCTGTTCATTCATAGGTCGTCTTGTTGGGTTTATGAAAGGACTTTTGGCGAGGGCCCAGGTGTGGAGTCCTCCTCGTGCCCATGGATGAGGGGAAGAGTCCCCGAGTCACTACGCCGAGTCCCCAGAGCGGACCTCCTCTCGTCCCTTCACGCCCTCACCTCTGCCCTAAGAGGGCAGAGGTCTCCGTCTTGAACCTCCGGCCGGACAGCACGCGCGAGTCCGTCACGAACCCTCGGCTGGACAACACGTGGGCGCGTGAGTGCGCCAAGACCCTTCGACCGGACAACACGTGGCGTGTCGAGTCACGCATCCTGACCCTCACAGCCGGTCAACTCAGTAAACCGCGGTGTGAGCCCCGAACTGCGTGCTGGTCTGTGTAGCCAAAAACAGTGGACTCATCACAAGCCGACGACCTGGACCACGGTCGGCGGCCAGGAACCAGCACATTCGATCGTCCACGTATCAGGACGAAGTCCGTGCGAATCCCCCGCTACGAGCGTGAGACTGTATCTCCCTGTATTTCTCCTTTCGGTCTTTCCCCCCATTGAGTATCCTAATAAATTCTGCACAGTTGTTAATGTTGATCTAAGGACGTACCTTCCTTCCTACTTGGAGTCTATGGAGATCTGAGACTTCGCTTCTCCCTCGCTAATTTACCATCTATAAGAACACGCAACCTTCTTGATTACCATCCGACCACATTGGGTCTGATCCCTCCGGAATTCCGTCCAAATTCGTGCACGGGTCGACTTTCGCGTACTTACGTTATAAGAACACGCAACCTTCTTGATTACCATCCGACCACATTGGGTCTGATCCCCATATGTAGTGAGGCATTCGTGCCCCATATCCCGTGACCCCCTGGGGTTCGTTACACAGGCCCTTGCCAAAAGTCAGTTTTTCCTGGCAGGCCAGGAAAAATAAAACAGGAAAATTTCAGGGTTTTCGAGAAGCAGGTTTTAACGGCAAAAAAAAAGTTTTTAACATAAAACCATTGGAGCCAACTGTTGTCAGGTCTGCACATACGTCTAAGCTTGAACTTTGTAAAAGTGCTTTTGTTCTCTCTGCAGGCAATGATAATACTGGCCTAAGCCTAACTTACTTTAGACTGGCCCATTTTTGAATGTTTACTGCTGCAATTTTTTTTGCTTATGTGATTTGCTTCACTAGGGATTTTCCAAAAAGTTCAGTTTCTCAAAGCTTGAATTTGTGCCATTGAGACCTGTCACATAGAGTTCTCAGGCGCTGAGAGTATATGCCTCTGTTGATGATAACTGCTACAAATATTAGAATCAGGGCCAAAGTCAAAGGAGATGTGCTCACTCTTGAATAGTGCAGCTGATCAGGAGTTCAGGAATCAGGAATGCATTTGATCCTCTTCCATTTTGGCAGTCCCAGATGATTACATGGTGACAGAGACAGGTTGCCCATGGTAATAATAGATCACCAGCAAACCGGAGTTTGCTGGTGATATGGTTTTCTGTATCTATTTTAAAATAAATTGATTTAAAAGACAGACTTTAATATTGAAATGACTTGCAGGACACAAAATGAAATAAAACAGTCTTGTTATTGATATTGAAGCTGGTTGTATCAGCATTCCCATGTCAGTTCCAGGCCTATGGGCAAGGATCCAGATAATTTTAACATTCATTTCCTGAATCGGTGCCATTCTGTATCAGCGCTCCTGAAATTCCAGCAATTTCCAACAAGAGCAATCCAGCTTCCATCTAGGAATGCAGCGAATTCTAGCAGGAGCTCTCCTGCTTCCAGCTGGGAATGCGGCAATTTCGAGCGAGAAATTTCCTTCTTCCAGCTGGAGATATTATGGTTTATGTCTGTTCATCCAGCAGGAAAAGTCCAGCTAGAAATAGCATACCGATTTACGACCCGCACCAGCTGGAAATCCAGCTGTTGCCAACTAGGACTGTAGAATTTTTCCAGCTGGATTGATTGTTGCTTATAACGGGAATTTTTTTCCTGGGGTGTCATTCGACAATCCGGCGCCACAAAGTATGAAGCCTATGCAGATAGCCACAGCCTATGGCGTATAGAATGACAGTGCCTTGTAGTCTCGGTGCTTCACGCCATGGATGCACAGGCTGAAGAATAGAATGGTGTCATCGGTTACGGGCGCCTGGACGGGAGGTCTCCTGGTTGTTCCTGTATTCTAGTCGTAATTCTAACCGATGAACTTACCCCTGACGGAGAATCGCTTGCCTTTTTTCTTCGATTGTTAAGTGGTTTCCGTTACGATCCGGCCAAATTCTGAGTCGAGCCGAACAATTTGTCATCAGACGCCTTTAAATGACACCCGGAAAAAGGGTTTCAAATAACGTCTCAAGAAAAAAGATACCATCGACAAAAAATGCCATCACTTTTTCTTGGTAATAGTCTCTCGAGTGGTGTAAGTCACGATTCAATCAAATCAACCACAGCTTCCGGCCTCTTTCAATTAAAGTATTAGATGAGAAATTGTTCTCTCCATCTCCGGTACATGACGGACTCACTGGCTTTCTTTCCCGCTTACGATGGTTGTCTCTCTCTCTCTCTCCCTCTCACTCTCTCTGGAAGACTTATTTGTTCCCGTCAGTGATGAGGAATATACCTGCTGGGGGGGGGGGGGGGGGGGGGGGGAATTACCGCAGTGTTCCCGTCAGTGATGAGGAATATACCTGCTGGGGGGGGGGGGGGGGGGGGGGGAATTACCGCAGTTGAATGTAGTAAAAAAATGTCCTATATACGCTGCGTGATAACATTTCAAGTCACTCCTGCTCCTTCACTATTATCTATCTTTAGCGTTCAAAAACAGAACGGACAATTTGTCGTCAGGGAGTAAATTATTTCCGACTCCGGAGATCGAGACGATGTCTGAAGATCTCTATTATTGATTTCAACCCACGAATGATGATGGATAATGGCCGGAAAAACACTTCCGCAGGCCTACACATCTCCGTCCCGAGCAAGTTTTAATAATTCAGATAGAGCCCGTTGAAATCCACATGTCGCCCACAAACCGCCAGAGTACCTCATGCAACCGACATGCTGCAGCCGCGTCTCCTCCTGTGTCTGCTCCTGGTTCCCCCGGAGGTCATCGGCCTCCTCCACCTTCGCCCTGACCTTGACCCGCATTCGGTCCGAGAGCAACCTCTCTTGGACTGGATCCTACGAGGACTGAATGGCAAATACTACCCCGTGCTGTACCTGGACGCCGCGATGGACAACCGAATTAGAGCGGACGTGCCAACCGCAAAGTTCCTCATGGATGCAGAGAACGTGCCGCTTGTGAACCCGGATGCCTGGGATGAAGGCTCGATCTTGCA